TCTTGAGCGTGGACCAGTCCAGGTTCTTGTCCAAAGACATGGGTCTTGTCTATATCTAGATCTCCCTCTAGATCTATCTGGAAGACTTCGTTCCATTCTTACAATTGAGATTCCAAAGCGCCAACAAGTTATACAATGCAAATAAATGGCGCCTGGATGTTCGGGGCCGTCCTCCTTCTATGCCATGAATATTTGAGCCAGTTAAAGGTCGCTTCTGGAAACTAGATAATCTCGCTCTCACCACACTCACAGCTCCCATCGTTCCTGAGCCGAATGTCCCGTAGGCGTTTATTTAAAGACCCGTGACGCCTCTAGGTGGAGCGCGTTCGCAAGGTAGGGAGCGCCGCAATCGCCGCCAATGTCAATCTGGACATGAAATAACTTTTTTATATTCAAAACTGGGTTAGATAGGCTCAAGGTTTTTTTTCATTAATTTTTAAATTTTTTTCTTTTTTATGCGTTTTTATATTTTTTTTATTAGCTATTTAATTTTAATATTTATAAACCAATGTCAACTTGAACATGTAAAAATGTTTTTACAGCCAAAACTGGACTAGATATGCTCAAGGTTTTATTTAATTTAATCTTAAAACTCATTTTTTCTTTATGCCTTTTTATCATATTTTTTTGTTAAATAATTTATTTGTTTAAGTTGTTGTTGGGATTTGTAAGATGTTAATGTAAATAGATAAGTTTAATTTGTTTTTTTTTTCGCTATTAACTATTCCTTTTAATAACTATTTTTGTGTTTTTAAAGTCAAATAAGTTTTAAAGCTTAACTTACTTTATCAAATTCATGTTATTAGTATTTTTTTACCGTGTTTAATGTTGGTCTTAAATAATTGAACTTAGTAGTAACAGTTGAAACCCATTTCGTAATAAAATTATATTTTTATTTATTCAGAACAGTAAACAATAATTATACCGCAGTGTCTCAAGTCAAAAGTCTTTGACCAGTGTGTGTTGCCAGTGATGGTATATGGATCTGAAACGTGGTCGCTAGTAAGTTTCTAATCTTATAGATTTAACATAATGTTTAACTTACTTTATCAAATTCATGTTATTAGTATTTTTTTACCGTGTTTAATGTTGGTCTTAAATAGTTGAACTTAGTAGTAACAGTTGAAACCCATTTCGTAATAAAATTATATTTTTATTTATTCAGAACAGTAAACAATAATTAAACCGCAGTGTCTCAAGTCAAAAGTCTTTGACCAGTGTGTGTTGCCAGTGATGGTATATGGATCTGAAACGTGGTCGCTAGTAAGTTTCTAATCTTATAGATTTAACATAATGTTGAAAACTATGTAACAGAACGTTCTAGAATATACATAACTTCTAATTACTGAAAGATGCGCATCTTTTAATCAGTCAACCGTCCATAAAAGGTATTTTCAACTGTCTACTTTATTTTAATGCCTATTTTTGTCTTGTTTCTATTTTATCTAGCGGATAGTTGACGAACGAGTTTGTTTCCTAGCATTTGCTAAAGTCGACTCAAAGAACCCCTTAAGTTAGGTTTTTTTATTTTTTTACGTTCACTAAGTATGATCTTTTGATTTTTCACATCAATTTACAAGGTTACTTGCAATCTGTGTTACTTGCCCACTCAGTTTTGCCTGGTAAGATGACGAATGGAGGATGGCAACACCTTCAAACGAAACTTAAACCGGAAATAAAAATATTTTTAATTTTTCAATTTGTCAGATCGGTGAAAAATGTAAAAGAAACTTGTATGCCTTAACTCATACCACAGAATAATAATAAGTACTACGTACCTCAACCTCTACTAACATTTTGTATGTGAATGTACCTACTGTCACTACTGTGAACTCGTTAGCTTAAATTAATATCAAACCCTAGTGGTTTTTCAAAACTATCTAAATATAATTTGTCTTTTTTAGTTGTTAAATGAAAAAAAGAATCCTTCGAATAATATAATCCGCTACTTATTAAGCTCCAGTACTATGTTTAATTTATAAATTTTAATGTAGATTTTTATGGAAGTAGGTAAACCAATTAAGTAAGTACCTACCTAACTAGGTACGTGCTTAGCCTATACCAATCAATCAATCAATCAAATAATTTATACAATTATACCTACTTGTTTTTCTGTAAGTTTCTATTAATTTGTATACCTACTTAATATAAATAAATTAATTTGTATAGCTTATGTACGTGTAGTTAGTAGTACGTTTTAGATGTCATATTTTTGAATAAAATATTTTTATTACACACTTATTCGGTAGTTTTTTTCCACTGTACATTTCATTTGGAACGATATTTTGGATCTGAGGATGTCAGGCCAAAGTAATACATTTTTTGCAGGTATTCTTTGAGTCTTCCAGTGACTTGGCCCATTATTAGCTTGGTCCACGGGCCAAATAGCTGGATTGAATTTTCAAATATTTTTTCGTCCAGCAACTGGGCCCACTAAGTAGAGCAGATTTTTGTTGATTTGGTGTATAATGTATTACTAAAAACATTGAAGGTGGGCCTTACTGGAAGAACAAACATTTAAAAATTCAATCAAGCTATTTGGCCCGTGGACCAAACTAAAAGTGGGAAAAATCACTGGATACAGGAGTCTTCCAGTGACTTGGGCCACTTTTAGAAGCAGACCGAAACTACGTTTAACATCTTTATTTATGTTCCTAAACACGCCTAAAACGATCGAAGCTTGTATTGTCCAATCAAACCACTTTAAAGCGCCTAGCTGATTTGTAAAACCATCATAAGTTTATGCACTATAGCATAGTTTTGCCTAATTATTATATTTGCCTAACCAATAAGTATTGCTGAAGTCTATTGTCGCAGATATACCTACTAGGTAGGCGTTGATGTCGTAAATCAATCTCATAGTCAATTACTTGATTTCTTTATACAATTTAAGTGGGTTACTAAAACGGGCAGTAGGCACGTAGACACGATAAAACTAACTCTATCGATGTGTGAAGAAATGCGCCGCACAGTTTCCACGCAATATTTAAATATGAAATGATTTTCCAAGAAAATGTGCCTTTTTAGGTTTTGAGTTATTAGCGCAAGGCCCGTGCCCACCCCAGAATGGCTTAGTGCCCACCCTAAAAAATCTTAGAAATCGAAAACCTAACTTTACAGTACTCAAAACAAAAAAATATCAATAAGCAAGTAAGTAGATAGCGTTGAAATTGCACTCGATGTAAAGCAAAGACCCCCAGGCCAGATTATCGCCAGAATTTGAGGTAAGTAAGTAGGGTAAGTATAAGGTATTCCAGAGTCCTATGTAACCTGGGAGTCTGGCGATTGTAATCAGTGAAGATTCTTCATCTTTAAACCCGACAGCGCCAGAAGGAGGGTTATTATTAAAAGTAGTGACTGAGTTTCTTGCGCTGCTTCTTCTCAGCACTGGCCCATTTATTGTCCCGAGAAGCAGTGGTAGGGTTAACACTGGGACGTGTAAAAGTGCTTTTTAAAAGCCTTTTTGCATTCTATTTTAATCCAATGCAAAAATAAATTAGTTTTAATGTGTTTTATTATTACCTTCCTACACCTGCGTGCTAAAAACTCTCCAGTCTCCTAATTATTTATTTATTTATACTTCAATGCCAAAAATATTAACACTAGGCGAACTTAATGCCATAAGGCATTCTCATCCAGTTTACCTTTGGGACAAATCATAACTAAGGACAAACTTGACCTTCATTAGTTGGGTATTTACAATGGCGTGCCTTCCTTAGACAAATACAAATACAAAATCATTTATTGTGAATCATAGGTAAAATGGTGACATGTTACATTAGGTAGTATCACTATGTTCCGCTCAAAGAGCATACAAAGACGGGCCCTGTATCGAAATAAATTTATTGGGGGGACCCCTATCTAAAGAGTTCCTTGCAAAATTATATAAATAAATAAATATCCTTGGACATTTTACACTACGCTTCTAGTCCCAAACTAAGCAAAGCTTGTACTGTGGGTACTAGACAACGGATATAATTAACATACTTAAATACTTTTTTTTTTAAATACATACATTATTATACATAGTAACACCCAGACCCGTCACAGAAATTATAATTAATTCATTTCAATTTCTGCCCGGCCGGGAATCGAACCCGGGACCTCTCGGCATAGTAGTCCGTTCTGAACCACTACACCAAACGGCCGACGATATGCTTGCTTACTCTGTCTTCCAAAAAGTCTGGCACTGGGGCTTCTGTATTCCAGGGGCCCCGTATCATTGATATAGCAGATACGGGTGTAGCTACGCCCCTGGGTATTTTAGCTGTAGATCCTGGCTACACATGAGTTGCAGCGGTGGGAACGAGAGGCGGAATAATATTTTTTTAGGCTCATAAAAATCTCTTCGTCTATTTTTTTTATCCACAACGAGGAAGCTCTTGGCCTGTATCACCTGATGGTAAGTGACGATCAGGCCGAAGGTGAAAGCGAGCTTCACCCGGAATCCTTAACCACAGAGGAACTGGCTATCTTACCTCTAAGTAACTGCCGGAACACAACAATTCTGTTAACATTGTCGTTATGGCGACAGACTTAGATAAGATGGTGGTAGCTAAGCCAGGCGGACTTAGAACAAGCCCTACCACCAACCAAACCGAACAGAAAAATCTGCCCCCACTGGGAATCGAACCCGGGACCTCTGCGTCTGAAGAAGGTGGTCTTACCACTAGACCACAGAGGCGGTTAAATATTACATTACAATATTGTGGTGGGTATTCAATGGCCAGTAGCATTCTCTTGACAATAGCTAAATACTTGCAAAATTAACATACTGAAATACATAGATTGCACACTTTAGCTTTAAATAGGTAGGTACCATATTGCAAAGCGAAAAAATTGCACTATGATTATCGAAATTCAACTCTATTGGATTAAAATAGAGGTCTTTGTAGAAATAAATGATAGGTGTACTTTACAATGGTGAAATTGTTGATAAGGACTCCAATAAAGCAACGCGAACGGGAGTGTCCTCACCATCGGTTCGAAGTCGTCGCATCATGAAGGCAGCAGCAGTGTTTTGTTTCGTGGCTGTGTTGCAGGTAAGATTTCATTTGTAAATTACTTACTGATAAGTCTAAATAATCGACTTTTTACACTAAGTACGTACAACCAGTACTACAAACAAAACCGCACAAAACAGACAAAGAAATTAGGGATCAAATGAGATTCATTAACTACCTAAGTAAGTGGTAGAAGCAATAAAGAACTTTATCTTTTAACTACAGGTGCGTCAAGTTTGTGTTCAATTTGTTTAGTTTTATTTATTGAAATTAATAATATTACAAAAAAAACCTAAGCAACATAGATAAGAGACGTTACACATTAATAGTTTATAGAAACTACGAATGATTACCTAATATCTACATCATTTGTTACAGCTATCAGCAGCATTTTTCAAATCCCCACCGGCTCCTGCGCCCGTGTACTCCCCGGCGCCCGCTCCCGTCTATGCCCCGGCTCCCGTTTATTCTCCACCTCCCGTTTATGCCCCGGCCCCCGCTCCTGTATACACCCCAGCCCCCGCTCCAGTGTATTCTCCTCCCCCCGTGTATACACCCACTCCGGCCCCTGTATACATTCCCCCTACCCCTGTTTGCGCACCACCCGCTCCCGCGCCCGCTCCTGTCATCCTTCCCGCTCCTGTATACACCCCACCTGCACCTGTATACACCCCACCTACCCCTGTATACACCCCACCTACCCCTGTATACACCCCACCTGCCCCTGTATACACCCCACCTGCCCCCGCACCGGTGTACTACCCGCCTCAACCAGCCCCCTGTGCCCCAGCCTATGCCTACGAACCTACCATCTCCTACCAGCCTAACTTGGAATGGGAGCCCACTGTGTCCTACACTCCGGCCATAGAGTACGAGCCTACCTTGACCTACGCTCCTACCCCGATCTACGATGCCACCCCGAACATTTACTATTTGTAAATTGTTGATGAATAAAGATTTTTGAGAACACTTTGTTGTTTTAATTACCCACATTATTATAAAACGTTTAAAGTACCTGCAAAAGTGAAATGTAGGTAGGTATACTGTTCTGAAGAAGTGGCAGTAAGTTACTTGTATGACAAACGCCCGTATTCACAAACGATGCTTGCTTAAGTGAAGCAGCAAATCGAACGCACAGCGTTGAATAGAGCTCTGTGATTGGTTCGTGTGTCACCTGTGCGTCCACGCGCACTGTGAGACCTCATAGTAATGTTTGTGAATATGGGCGAAAATCTGCTGGCTCAATTACACTATGCAGGAAATTGACCGAGACGAAGCGCGAGCATGCACACCGAAGTACGACAAAACTAACCGAGTGATGTTTACACTTTATTGTCTCGATCAATTTCCTGCAATATTTCCAACGCCAAAGTATTTCGTTTTAATGACTCTCCTTTGTAAAATAAATGACCTACCTACCTAAAAAGCTTCATCAAACCTGTCTATAATTAAATGTAGAAATGAATGAGCAGAAATAAGCCTTATTAATTTATTTTAGACCAATATTAAACTTTGCTCCCGAAGTGTATTGCCAACATCATCAAAAAAGAAGAAGAAACTTTGCTCCCTTACCTCGCCACGAGCCGTGCTATGTTATCTGTGCCCCAAGTAGTAAGTTGAAACAAAACGCATTTTTTCAGAATGGCAACATTTTTGTGAAACGTCAAATCAAATGAAAAAGTCATTTTTCTTGCGAATTACGGATTATTTTTCATAGGATTAAGTTCATTTTATCGTGATTAATATTACATAGAATCGACAATATCTAGTCAATTAACTGCCGGGACAACAATCACAACTTTTGGGACGCATGTGAGTACACAACGTTATTAATTTCGTTGAAATTCGCACAAGTAGTCCGAGTTTCAGGTGGTATTATTTTTGTTTAGGCCATTTACGCTGAGTAATTTTCAGTGGTTTGCATCGGGATCACTACGTCTGGCTCTTTGTCACGGTGCCAAATGAATTCTGCCAACGGTTGATAGTATTTAACGCGTTACTGCTCACAGAAAGCCAATTGAATGGTGTTTTATAACCCTAGAAAATACCACCCATAATCGGGGCACTTATTTGTTGTGATTCTGTTGACCTAATACTGCTCCAGATTGGAACTTTAGTGACTTGCAGAAATTTGTTTACAACAACAAGCATTTGTGACAAGTTTACTCAGCTGTAAAAAATACATTAAGCTCAAAATTTATTGGCTTGGAAATTGTTATGGCCCTGAATTTAAGTTGTCCTTAACTTTGAAAAAGTTTTATTTGAAAAGAATCAGTTGAAGCCCTGGTGAGTATGCTAGAGTAACTCAAAACAAGTTCTTTGTTCTGAAAATACTTACATTAAGTACAAAGATTCATAGAAAATAGTTGACTCGCGTTGAGGATACTAATTTTAGAACTTGACCTTCATTAGTTGGGTTTTTATTGGTGATCAAGCTGTAGATCCTGGCTACACAGGAGTTGCAGCGGTGGGAATAGTCCCTGGTATTTATTACATTGTGGTATTTATTTTTTGGAGGAATAACTGCTTCCTAAGATACAGGAGCGGAATGGAGGAGGTTTTTGCCCATACAGGGGTGCCACAAGAGTGAAGACAGATGCTTCTAACTTAATTTATAAAATTGTAAACTTGTGGAAATAAAAGCTTTTTATTATTATTATTTATTAAGATACAGGATCTGTCCTAGTGTAGGAGGCAGGGGCTTATGAAATTTTAATCTGTTTTTTGAGTCTACAAAATTATTCTTAATCTTATTTTTATTTGTTAAGTACTTAATTGAAGTGCAAATTTTTCCAGATACATGAACTAGGCCTTCCGATGATGTCTCTAAAGCCAAGAAACGTGGACTTCCAGGAGACGTGGGCCAACCTCAAAGAAACGGTACGCATTCTTCTTTTATGTTGATTTAACTAATTAATAGTGACTGAGTTTCTTGCGCTGCTTCTTCTCAGCACTGGCCCATTTATTGTCCTGAAGCAGTGGCAGGGCTAATATTGGGACTTGTAAAAGTGCTTTTTATAAGCCTGTTACAAAAATAAATGAGTTTTATGTGTTTCTTGACTGTGTAATGACAACTTAAAGTACGGCCAACTAGCAGCGTCAAACTGACAATCTATACTGTGTCTGAATGTGTAGGTATTTGTCGTAATGTCTCGTTCTTCCGCCAAAATATGTCAAAGTCAAACCCCTGCTATTCCAAATGACCATGACATTGACTTTGTTTACATTTGGTATCGCTTCTCGTTGGCCATACTTTAAACTTATTTGACTTGAATCTATTGTTCAGCATAATTCAGAACATCTTCAGAAAAGAAGTGTGGTAGTAAGAGGTGGTTTTAGTAATTTTCTTACGCCCATGGAGTTCCATCTGGTAAGTGTGGTAGGAATAGTTCCATTCTAATGCTTTACAAAGCGAAAGAGAGGTGGAAATAGCCCCAATATGAAGCGTTGCAGTGGGAATAGCTCCGTTATAAAGGTTCGTTCGTCCGTTAAAAGGTTGTTACAGATAGTATACAAAGTGCTCTATTCTGCTAAAATACATTAACATGCAAATTTTTTGTCCAGATATTCCTGAACACTGTAAAAGCAGGAAGTGGTCAGCTATTTCCTAAGTTTTCTGGTCATTACTTTTACATTCATTTTTTTAAACGGTGAGAAGTGGGAATATTAACGACCACGTGTGGTATTACACTCTGGTAGTAGTGGCTGGTAGGGCAAAAAATTATAATAAAAAAAAACTTTTTTAAAAACAAGCTTTATCCTGAAATGCAGTTGTACTAAAACGAAAAAAATAATTGTATGCTAGGTTCAAAGAAATTCAAAAGCTTGTAGCGCAAACAGAAGTTTTAGTACAACTGCATTTCAGGATAAAGCTTGTTTTTAAAAAAGTTTTTTTTTATTATAATTTTATTTTACACTTTTTAGTTGTAACTATCTCAATATCTGGGCCTGGTCATCATTTAGCATAAAAGTGCTCGGGAAGTCGAATCCAACGAACCTAAACTCGATAAGTTTCCGCCGTTTCGTTTAGGAGTTCCTATGGCCACCTCCTGACTCCATCATCAGACCAGCTCAATGGTACCATAATATTGCATTGTCATCGTACTTACATACGTATACCAAATTTCAGCTCAATCGGTGGAGGAGAACTGGTCTTAAATTCAGTTGCAAGATTTGTCCTACACATACTAATTACTAACAAGTGAAGTCAATATAAAGCTTGTAATAAAAAAGAATGAGACATGTATAGGCTCCTTAAGAGCATTTGACGATTTGCAAGAACTAATTTAATTAGTCTAAACCAGTGTTTTTCAACCTGTGGGTCGCGACCCCAGGGGGTCGCCAAGCCTCTATAGGGGGGTCGCGAGAGGTCGTAAAAACTACCTCAGTAACCAAAACAGTAAAGTAATAAAGATCTAATTATGCAAATGCATAAAATATGTTGTATAGATTTAAATATTCGATTCCTACAACATCTTTGTAACATTATAAAATGCATGAAAAAAAAGCGAACGGTCGGGGGGTCGCGAAATATTTTTAAATACTAGGGGGGTCGCGTCATGAAAAAGGTTGAAAAACACTGGTCTAAACAAATAAAGATAATTTTGATTTGATTTTACAGGTGGCAGGCGTAGTGGGATTGCGAGCAGTCGAGCGAGCCGTATGGAACACTCGCTTCTCGGATGTCTACGCGCTGTGCGTCGCACATCCCGAGCCGCTGGCCGACCGCCTGTACGACGAGACCAAGTGAGTAGCGTGGCGCGCCGGGCGGGTCACGGTAGTGTGGCATGACGCGCCAGGCGGGTCACGGTTGAGCCGCGAAAGAATGTCTAGGCCGTCTAGCTCGGACAATAACTCGCAGCTCCGTCCCAAAGACTTCGGGAGGACACCGTCAGGTTTTAGTGAGTAGGCCCTGCCCATCTGGCAGGGAGAGCCTCACATAACCCACTGGTTCCCCCGGGCCAGTGGGTATGCAATTTCATGCATTTCCTGACGAAAAAAAAAGGCGGGTCACGGTTGTGTGGCGTGACGCGCCAGGCGGGTCACAATAGTGTGTCATGCGCGCCAGGCGGGTCACAATAGTGTGTCATGGCGCGCCAGGCGGGTCATGGTTGTGTGACATGACGGGCCATGGTTGTGTGACGGGCCAGGCGGATCACGGTAGTGTAGCATGACGCGCCAGGCGTGTCACACCACACTTGCTAGGCTAGAATGCGCGCTGTGATAAAATTCTTATCTTTTGGACCCTACAAGCATATAGCAAGTGCTAGGAAAAAACGCCGGAACAAACTCAGTCATTTCTAAAATCAAAATAAAGTGAGGGTAGCCAAATTCAAGGACATCAAATATGTGCAGACTGAACTGACCACGCATCCATGTCATTAATCAAAATCTGTCAAATTGAACTGTGTGTGTTGCAGGAATTTTCTAGAGGAGCATGTAGCGGGTCTCTTACAACGCGTGCGAGGGAATGCGCCGCTGGACTCTACTGACCACACCGATGGACTGCTCGACAGGTCAGTGACCATTCAAATTCAAATAGTTTATTCAGTACTAGTGATGCAATGAATACGAATATTCGTATTCGCCGAATAGTAGACATTTACCGAATATTCGTATTCGGTGAAATGATAATTACGAATACCTACTTTTTTTTTATTTTGTCACGCACGACGTGTGTGTCTCCGAACACTATAGACACAACGACACGACGGGAAAACCCCAGTCAGTATGTAACAAAGTAGTAAGTAAGTTCTCTTCCGGAAGACAGTCAATAGCAGGTCGATTGTACAAGTATTATTTTGTTTTGTGATTAGTTACAAAGTAAAGTGATAAAATAACAAAAAAAAATGCCATTTGTAAAGAGTTAAATTTATGAGTATTTCATGACTATGTAGAGATATTCGTATTCGCCGAATAGTAGATTTAATATTCGTATTCGTAAAAGTAGTATTCGTTGCATCACTATTCAGTACATAGGCTCTTACTAGGGCACTTATACACGTCCCAAATATAGCTTACCCTACCACCACTTCGGGACAACATATGGGCTGGTGCTGAGAAGAAGTGGCGGAAGAAACTCAGTCACCTTTTCATTAATCATTGATATTCAAGGCGAGAGTGACTAAAGTCCGGTCGCCAAGTAGATACAATTTCGTCCAATGACCCCAAGCTACCCATCCTTATCACTCGCGCGTAATTATATTGCTGTCGCGACTGTGCGACGGGCGCCCGCAGTGAGTGTGCGAGCGCGACAGCAATATAATAACACGCGAGCGATAAAGATGGTTGCGATAAAGCTTGGGGTCATTGGACGAAATTCTATGTGCTCGGTAACTGGACTTAAGGCTTTCTAATGGTACCAAAACCAGTATTAGTGGGATGTATACGTTTGAAAGTGCTTGTCGCGGGAGGTACGATTTATTTGACGCCGAGTACATAACCACTGTAGCATATTCTTGTAAATAAATGTTATCTTACCTTATGTTATCTTATCTTATCCAGATACGTGGAGGCGTGGGGCGAGTACAGCCAGGGCGTGGCGTACCTCAACAGCCTCTATTCGTACCTCAACCTGCAGCACGTCAAGCGGCAGAAGGCGAGTTGTTATTGTTTATGAGTTTTTTTTAGGGTTCCGTAGCCAAATGGCAAAAAACGGAACCCTTATAGATTCGTCATTCTGTCCGTCTATCCGTCCGTATACAGGGTGGAAACGATAAGTGTTCTCACTCGATTATTCCTAAACTATACAAGGTATCGAAAAACTGGTTACTAATCCTGAAATTGCTTCACAAGCTCTATCCAACGAAACCAATAATATGTTACAGAATTTACTGGATCTATCCGAAAATTAAATGTTTTCAGCCTCCATACTAAATGCATGCCAGCCAAACAATATTAGAGGTATTTTTTATTTTTATTAAATAACAACCATTTAAAATTAACTTGTAAATTGCATTCTTATTTAAAATTATTCATAGAAAACATTGGTTTTAAGCTTTACTTGCTATAATTTTATCAAGACATGAGTACCATGACTGTGGCTGTACTAAATGTATGGAAGCTGGAAATATTGAATTTTCGGATGGATCCAGTTTATTTTGTAACCTATTATTGGTATCGTTAGATAGAGCTCGTGAAGCACTTTCAGGATCAGTAACAAGTTTTTGAATATCTTGTATAGTTTTTAAAATTATGTGGATTTACTAAATGTATGGAAGCTGGAAACATTGAATTTTCGGATAGATCCAGTTTATTGTGTAACCAATTATTGGTACCATTTGAAAGAGCTTGTGAGGCACTTTCAGAATCAGTAATCAGTTTTTCGATATCTTGTATAGTTTAGAAATAATCGAGTGAGATCACTTAACGTTTCCACCCTGTATATTTTTTTCCGAAACTATAAGAGCTATGCTGTTGAAACTTGGTAGGTAAATGTATTCTGTGAACTGCATTAAGATTTTGATGCAAAAATAAAAATAATAATAATAAATATTCAGGGCTCCCCATACTTAGAACTGAAACTCAAAAATTTTTTTTTCATCAAACACATGCGTGTGGGTGGGGTATCTATGGATAGGTCTTACAAAATGATATCGAGGTTTCTAAAATACTTTTTTTCTAAACCGAACCTTCTAGTACTATTAGTTCATTTCAGTACACTGATTGTATTAGGTAGATCGAACGAAAAAAGTCTTTATTCCTACGTAGTTATGGCCCAATATCGAAAAATATTCGCAACAGAGTTACAGAGCCGTACCCATCTCACTCGAGCTCACATGCACAAAATATAACAGAAGGTAAACTCATGTATGTACCTCGCTTTGCATACCTCTCTCGCTCGCACGCTCGGCCGTCGCGCTAGGGTTGTCTTGTCATGTGTTGCGTTTGTTTCGTTATGATAGAAAAATGTTACTCTTAATACTATGGAAGAAAGACAATAACAGATATCCACGTATACTTATGCAGTTATATTTAGTACGTTATTATAGTAATAGTTTGCAAACAAATACACGAGAAGGAAGTAGTATTTAGTTGAGTGGTTGACACTTTTATCTAATAATTCCAAAAACCTCTCTAAAACAATTCCTAATAATTGAGTTGGATTTCAATTTGTCAACGTTAAACGAACTATTGAAATACAAATAAATACCATACATACTCCCGGAATCAACTGTTAGTTTCAAAAACTAAAATTTAGTTTTTAATGTTGAGTGTAAGCAACCGTCTACTTAACAAATGTTATAATACCCCTTTTTTGTTGTTCACTAATTTTCGCACAAACAAAATAATTTTACGAACGTGTTAGAATATATATAATGTACATACCTGATTTATATTAATATTCCATAGTAAACATAATTGATACACTATTTCACTTGTTAAACACTACAGACACCGAACATTTGCACCGCCTCCATATTAACTGTCAGATTAGAATTCAGATTTCCATTTAGCAAATTAGAATTTATTGAAAGTTTTGTTGTTTCTTAATAATTCAGAATTTAATTTAGATATGTGATTCTAAATATAAGAAGTATTAAAACCCTGTTTTTGATATATTGTAAAATGAGAAACTCCAACTTCCGCTTCCGAATAAAAATATTTATAAAATCCTGTGCTCTGATTGGTAGACTGTTCTGATTGGTCGTTTAAGCCGACCAATCGAAGTTGAGTAAAAAAGGAGGGAGAATTTGGGTATAAATAGATGGAATTTCTCATTGATGGGCAGTCTAAAGCGGATATTTGTGGAGGTGCTGAGCCAAGTTAAGTATACATACTTTATTTACTATTACTATGCTGATTGTGCTATTGTATTGTATTTTGTGCTATTGTGCTATTGTGCTATTGTATTATGATCCTATTGTGTTGACACCTGACTAAACCTGATGGTGACATGCCACGGGGTCGGGTCGGTAGTTTGTTGACTAAACTATAAAAGAGAGGCAAATGCCTATAATTATGGGTTATACGTCACGGTCCTAAACCTTAGTATTAACCAATTCTAGATCTTGAGTAATATGTATATTGGTACATATGAACATAATATTTATACCTAACAATATCCATTATTGTGAGACTAAACTATAAAAGAGAGGCAAACACCTATAATTATGGGTTATACGTCACGGTCCTAAACCTTAGTATTAACCAATTCTAGATCTTGAGTAATATGTATATTGGTACATATGAACATAATATTTATACCTAACAATATCCATTATTGTGAGACTAAACTATAAAAGAGAGGCAAACACCTATAATTATGGGTTATACGTCACGGTCCTAAACCTTAGTATTAACCAATTCTAGATCTTGAGTAATATGTATATTGGTACATATGAACATAATATTTATACCTAACAATATCCATTATTGTGAGACTAAACTATAAAAGAGAGGCAAACACCTATAATTATGGGTTATACGTCACGGTCCTAAACCTTAGTATTAACCAATTCTAGATCTTGAGTAATATGTATATTGGTACATATGAACATAATATTTATACCTAACAATATCCATTATTGTGAGACTAAACTATAAAAGAGAGGCAAACACCTATAATTATGGGTTATACGTCACGGTCCTAAACCTTAGTATTAACCAATTCTAGATCTTGAGTAATATGTATATTGGTACATATGAACATAATATTTATACCTAACAATATCCATTATTGTGAGACTAAACTATAAAAGAGAGGCAAACACCTATAATTATGGGTTATACGTCACGGTCCTAAACCTTAGTATTAACCAATTCTAGATCTTGAGTAATATGTATATTGGTACATATGAACATAATATTTATACCTAACAATATCCATTATTGTGAGACAATGTACATAATAAAATAATGTGGGTTATATACATCAGGTTATAAGAGTATTTATTTACTTACATTAAAAGTAGAACATAAGACTAATAGCTTAATAAAGAAATTGTATTTTGTTTATGAGGTACCTAATTATTTTAAATTTAATTACTTGGTTGTTGAATCGATAAATACAAGGTAGTAGTAAAAGTTTATTTTTGTAATATAAATGTAATATCAATTGGTATGAGTTTTAATAAACGATCCTTTTAATTTACTGAGTTTTTTCCATCCTTAACATAATAGATTTAGTTCCTTCAGTTTTTGATAAATACCCATTAATCCTAACATCAGAAGTGGGATATTACTGTACACCAAATTAATGTAATCTTATTTCTAGGAGGTTAACGAGATGGAGCAAACTGTTCTGCAAGGACTACTCACCGCTATTAAAGAAGCACTGTCCAGCAATCATCGGCAAGATGACGTGGCGCTCCCGGTTTTCGACCCAGCTACCAGCAACGGTGGTGCGGCAGAGTGGTGTGCAGCCATCAGCGAGCTGGGAGACGAGTTCGGATGGAGCGGAATAACTAAAGTTGCTAAGGCAGGTAAGGCCCTCAAGGGCTCTGCTTTACTCTGGTTTGAATCATGGCAGCCTCAGGAAGGTAGGACATGGGAAAATTTCTCAAATGAGTTAAAATCATTGTACCCAGAAAAGAAAAATCTTTCTGAGCGTTTGTATAAAGCGGTTACTTATTGTTCAGATTATGCTGACTCTTATTGCGAATATGCGAGGGAGAAAATCAGATTGTTAAAAGATACGAAAATTTTATTTTCTGAGTCTCAACTAATTGAACTAGTATGCGGTGGCATTAGAGATCATAATGTAAAAATGGCATCATTTAACAGTAACGCTAAAACAACATCAGAGTTAATAACTTTGTTCTCTGCTTACATAAAAACTAAAAAGCGACCCTTAGATCAATCATCTGAAAATGTACACGGTCCTAGCAGTACTAAACGCTTTAAACCAACACTTAAACAAGAAGAGAAACCACAATATGACAAAAAATGTTTCACCTGTGGTGAAAAGGGTCATTTTCGCTCTTTCTGTACTACCAAAACTAAAGACTCCTCATTACTTCGGAATAGTAATATAAAAACATGTACAATTTGTAAAAAAATAGGACATGATTCAACTACTTGCTTCTTTAAGCGTATTAACTCGGATCAACAACCAAATACCGAGAATAAACAATGACTAGATATTCATGTAAATACTTGTAATCTGACTAAATTTAAACCTACTAAGGTCACAATACATAATACCTCAATTGATTCTCTCGTCGATACTGGAGCCAGTTGTAGCATCATACGTGAATCCATTGCTAAACGGTTAAATTGTAATTTTTCGCCTTGTTTTATGAACATAAATGGGATAGGTAACGGGAAAATAACAACTTTTGCCATTATTACAACACCTGTTAAATTTGAGGATGTTTGTATAGAATTAGATTTGTATGTAGTACATGATAAGGATTTTTCATACGACCTTCTTATTGGTAGGAACGCGGTTAGTCATCGCGATATTCAACTTTTAGTAGATTCTGATGGATGTAAGCTAACATGGAAGAAACTTTCTATGCCAGACGAAATTATAAATTTTGCTCATGACTCGCATGACGCTTTAGATGAATTAAAATCTTGTATACAGAATTTAGATACCAATCTACAAGATAAAATTGTTAAGATATTTGAGAAATATCCCAACGTTTTGCCTAC